GTAGTTGGACTTCCACGGACTTTGAAGAAGTTTGATGTTATTTGGGTGATTATGGATTGGCTGACCAAGTCTGCGCACTCCATTCATGTGTGTACTACCTATTCTTTAGAGCGGTTGGCTGAGATCTATATCCGGAAGATTGTTCGTTTGCATGGTGTCCCAGTTTCCATCATTTAAGATAGGGGCACTCAGTTTACTTTGCAGTTTTGGAGGTCTGTGCAGCGAGATTTGGGTAGTCAAGTTGAGTTGAGCACATCTTTTCACCCTCAGACGGACGGACAATCCGAGCGCACTATTCAGATATTGGAGGACATGTTGCGTGCTTGTATCATTGATTTCGGAGGGTCATGGGATCAGTTTCTACCGCTTGTAGAGTTTGCTTATAACAACAGCTATTAGTCGAGTGTTCAGATGGCTCCATATGAGGCTTTGTATGGGAGGTAGTATAGATCCCCAGTTGGTTGGTTCAAGCCCGGTGAGGCTAGGCTATTGGGGACAGACTTGGTACAGGATGCTTTAGAAAAAGTAAAGGTAATTCAGGAGAGGCTTCGTACAGTGCAGTAGAGGCAAAAGAGTTATGCTGACAGGAAGGTTTGAGATGTGTCCTACATGGTTGGCGAGAAGGTTCTGTTGAAGGTTTCGCCCATGAAGGGTGTTATGAGGTTTGGTAAGAAAGGTAAATTAATTCCTCGGTTCATTGGGCCTTTTGAGGTGCTTCGGAGGATTGGGGAGGTGGCTTATGAGCTTGCCTTGCCACCCAGATTGTCGAGTGTGCATCTGGTGTTTCATGTTTCTATGCTCTGGAAGTATATTGGGGATTTGTCTCATGTTCCGGATTTTAGCACGGTTTAGTTGGATGGTGATTTGACCTATGATGAGGAGCTAGTAGATATTTTGGGTCATCAGGTTCGAAAGTTGAGGTCAAAGGATATAGTTTCAGTGAAAGTGCAGTGGAGAGGTCAGCCCGTGGAGGAGGCTACCTGGGAGATCGAGCGGGAGATGCGGAGCAGATATCCTCACCTATTTGAGGTTTCAAGTATGTTTCTTAACTCGTTCGAGGACGAACGTTTGTTTAAGTTGGGGAGGATGTGACGACTCAACCAGTCGTCTCATGAGTTACCGCTCTGTTTCCCCCATTTCTGCTTTTTATTGCTTTATCTAATAGTTCTACATGTGATCGGGTTGATTGGTTCGGGTTCGGAAAGGATTTGGTATGGTTTGAGACACTTAGTCTCTTTTGAGGAAGCTTTAGTTGAAAAAGTTAACCAGATGTTGACTTATGTGTTAGAGGGCTCGGATGTGAGTTCCGACGGTTCGGATAGTTTCGGGAGGTGATTTGGGACTTAGAATCGTGATCAAAATGAGTTTTGGAGGTTCGGAGTAGATTTAGGGTTGAATTGACGAAGTTGATATTTTGGCGATTTCCGGTTGGTAGGCGACATTTTGATATAGGGGTCGGAATGGAATTCCGAGAGTTACAGTAGTTCCGTGGTGTCATTTGGGATGTGTGTGCAAAGTTTTGGGTCATTCGGACGTGGTTTGGTTGGGTTTTTGATCAAAAGCGGAATTCGGAAGATTTTGAAAACTTAGGCTTGAATCCGATGTATTTTGGTTGATTCGATGTTGTTTGAGGTGTTTTGAAGATTGGTATAAGTTTGAATAAGGTTTCGGGATATGTTGGTGTTTTTGGTTGAGGTCCTGGGGGACTCGGGGTGATTTCGGATGGTTGACGGAGAGTTTGAGATTTTGTTGAAGGTGCAGATTTTTCTGCTTCTGGTATTTCTGCACTTGCAGATTGGGGACCGCATGTGCGATGCCGCAGAAGCGAGGAAGGGTCGCAAAAGTGGTCAGCCGCAGATGCGGTTGGTTGACCGCACCTGTGATGGCGCAGGTACGGCTACTTGGTCGTAGATGCGGTTTTGGACCATTAAGTGAAAGCCACAGAAGCGACTCATTGACCGCAAATGCGGTACCGCAGAAGCGGAATCTGGGCCGCAAGTGCGGAATCCCTGGGCCAGAAGGTATATATTGTTTCCTTCGCGAAAATTTGCTAAGTTCTCCATTTTTTAAGACGGGAAGCGAGTTAGGGTAGTGATTTCAAAGGAAGATCGAAGGGGATCAGTTGGGTAAGTTTTCTAAGCTTCATTATTTGGGTTTATGATCATTTTTCCATTGTTTAATCATGGTATTAGTGGAGATTAAAGGAGAAAAATTGGGGATTAGAGCTTGAGATTAAGAGACTTTAAAATGGGAATTTGAGGGGTCATTTGGACTCCGATTTCAGTGTGCTTGGTATGTATGGACTCGTAGAAGGATAAGGATTCCATTGATGTAATTTTTACCGAGTTTCGAGACATGGGCCCGGGGGTCGGGTTTTGGCAATTTCGAGATTTATGGTATTAATTGATTATTTTCGCTTGGGCTTCGTTCCCTTAGCATATTATGACACCGTAATTCTGATGTTGGATAGATTTAACGTGAGTGGAGGCCGATTCGAGGGGAAAAGGCGTCGCGGAGTGGTATTTTTATCAGTTTGAGGTAAGTAACTATTGTAAATCTGGAACTGAGGGTGCAAACCCCAGTATTTGAATTGTTTTGATAAATACGGTAACACACATGCTAGGTGACGAGCGTGTGGGCGTGCACCAGTAGGGAGTATGACTTGGTCCGTCCCGTAGCGACTATTAAGCCGCGTATTTGATTTTAAACCTTATGATATTCCGTACTTTAGTCATTATATTGTATTATGGGTTGTATGCCATGTTTGTGGCCTTGTGCCGACCTGTTGAGGCCCTTAGGGGCATTTTTACTGTTTTTCCTCACTCTACTTGTTTGAAAGCATATCCTCAGTCATGTTTTACCTGTTTATTGTTTAAAACTGGTTTTATCACTCTACTTCTTAATGTGAGGACTGTTCGAACCAAGTTCCCTAATTTCTACTGTTGTGTCCGAGAGGCTGTGAGGTTAATGACTGAGAGAGGTTGAGTACCTAAAGGTGAGGATATTTATATACGTATGAATTATGGATCGGGCTGCACACCACAGCGATACTTATATGGATTGTTCTGCACGTCGCAACGATATATATATTGGATCGGGCTGCGCGCCGTAGCGATATGATGCTTGGGCTGTAGGAGCCCCTCCGGAGTCTGTACACCCCCAGTGAGCGTAGTCGACTATAAACTATGGATCGGGTTGCACGCTGCAGTGGTTACTATGATTTTTTTTACTATTATGAGATATTAATGAGCCTGAGTGCTGAGTGTGAGTACTGAGTGGCGAGAGTTGAGTCACTAGTGACTGAGAGGCTGCCCGAAAGGCCATATTCTGAGTGATATCTTGCCCAAGGGGCCCATTTATGATATTTTCACTACTTTCACTCTTCTCTTAAAATAAGCCTCTGTTGATGAATTGCTAAGTAAATGATTTCAAGTATTCCAAATGAAACTAGAGATTTTATGACGAAACTGGTTTTAAACTGCAGAGTTTGATCTATTATCCTGTTGTTTACTCCTTTATATGATTTTAACTGCTCGTCACTGCTTTCAGACCTTATTTACTTTAGTTACTTACTGAGTTGGCATACTCACGTTACTCCCTGCACCGTGTGTGCAGATCTAGGTGCCCGTGCGGCAGATTGAGGGTCCTCAACATTATCAGAGTTTGCTGGAGACTGCAAGGTAGTTGCATGGCGTCCGCAACCCTGCTTTCTTCCTCTATCCTTGTTTTTTCGCATTTTAGACTTGTTTTGTATTAGACAGTCAGATTTGTATATGTTAGAGGCTCTAGACTTGTGACACCAGATGTTTGGGCTGTGTTGGTTTAACATTGTATTGATTTCCGCACCTTTTGGCTGTTTATGCACTTCTTATGAAAAATTGAGGTTTTAAACTTGTGTTAGAAAAATGATTTTATAAAAGGAATTTGTTGTAGTTAATGGTTTGGATTGGCTTGCCTAGTAATGTGATAGGCGCTATCACGACCGGGTATTTGGGGTCGTGACATACGGCACTCAGAGTACTCACGATCGGTAGAGAATACTTAGGCGAAATTACAGAAGACGTAGCAAGAATGATTCCAACAATTGAGGAAATCATAACTCTAGACCTCCTAATCTTTTCTTCAACCCTTACTATCCCTAGTTTTTAATTTACTTTTTTAATTTATTAGTTAATTAGTTAGACATAAAAATCTTAATATTATAACTTAGGAATTGTTCGAGCTTGTCTTTCGAGTGATATTGAACAGTTATAGTGAAACCTTAGTTCTCTGTAGGATTCGACTCCGAACTTTTAGACCGGATTATATTTGCAGCGAACGCTTATCCTTTTTAGGATTAGAGTTGGGCGTGATCAGTAGAATAGACACTTTTCGCGAACTATTATTTATTTTTCTTCAAAATAAAATTTACATATTTTCATTTTTGGTGGGAACTATTTGTGATGGAAATTTAATCCGTCGTCTATAACTCTTATCTATTTTGTATTAGAAATTCAATGACAAATATTTATGTTGATTCCAACATTTAATATTCAATAGTACTCTCATTTAAATTTAATATTTTTGTCAGGCTTTTTTCCTCAAAAGCTTAAAGATTCCCAAAGAAAGTTTTTTTGGATTAATCATATAACTTCTTGTTTGTAATAACAACGCCAATGATCTATTCTATAGTTTAAAGAATTATATAAAGACCTTTTTCTAATATAATATATATTATTATAGAGATCGTTCCTACCATTAGATCATGTTATTGATAGTAAAAGTAACGTAGATATTGTTTTAGTTTTTACTCTTCGCTTTATTTTCTATTTTGCCTTTTTTCCTGCTTTCTTTTGTTATTTTGTTTATTCTTTTGCTTTAATGTTACACTCATAATTATTTTTAAGCGTCTATATCTATTAATGGTAGCCAATTCAACATTGAATTTTTATCGTAATAACTCAATTCAAGTTTTGCTCGTGAATATTCATTTTCATTGAATTGCCGTGACTTTCCTTGCATAATAATAAATGATCCAGCCGCCCCTTCTTTCGAAACTAGTTGGCGGTAGCCCGGGCGGTGCCTGGGCCCAAGGAGCTTATAAATTTTTGATTTAACATAAAAAACTTTTGTTTACAAACTGTGAAGCAAAGTTGAACAAAATCTACATAATTTGATTCAAAATCTATACAATTAATTAACTTTCTTCTTGTTGTTGCTGTAGTTCTATCAGCTATATTAGGTCCCTAATAGTTGTCGTGCTCTTAGGAAGCAGAGTGTTTTTACCTTGCGACCGAGACAACAAGCTGGCCTGGAAAATGCAAAATAAAAAATGCTTTAGCATATGCGTAATACAAATTACCAGAATGAAAAAAGTAGAAAGTAACACATCCGTACATCACAATTATTAAAAGAAATATTTTTTGAAAATTCTCTTTAAATTCTTGATTGTAACAAACTTTAGAGTCTACTAACCTAAATTATTGGCTTAATTCCATAAATTTTAACAAAAGAGGAGGGATAATGTATTGGGTATAGCCAATACATTAGTTATAATTTGTGTTTGAATTTGTTTGACTTGCTTTATAGTCTTATATGAGAGTAGTGCAGATGAAGTCTTCTGTACAGTAACTGCACTTGGTGTTGCACTAATATAAAGTATCTAAAAATATTAAATTTAGATATTTGTACCCTGCCGAAGTAAGGAACCATGATAGTTGAGATAAAAATATTTGCTAGTGCTAGAAGTTAATGAATGTTACTCTCTTATGGAAAATTAATTATGTACCCTTTCTCTCTAAGGCATTTCTCACTATTTTTTCCACCAAGATATGAACGTTCCTGATCTGCTCAATTTAGGCGTTGTTCATCTTTCTTTTATTTGTAGGCATATAAATTTACTACTACTAAAGTACAGACATATTAACACAATAACATGAAATATAAAGCATAACTATTTAGCATTATTAATAAGCATATGACAATAGACTAAAGAAGTGCAGAATCACCTATATAGTCGAAGTCATGTATTTTAGTAGAAGCATTGTTTCTGCTTCCCAGGCCAGCACTTTGAAGAACCTGTGAAATCAAGCCATTATATTTCCAACAAAATTTATCAACCAAAAAAAACATAGAAATGTGGATAAGATGTAAACATGTAGGTTAACACTATTATAAATTTACATATCCAGAACAATGTCCTTCCTTAGACATAAAGATTTTTTTGAATCATTTCCGTTGTTCCTTCAATGATCATTTATCAATATTGTAGGGATGGTGATAGTTATTATTTCTTCTAATTTAAATTCTAACAATATATTTTCTACGGACTTTATATGTTCCCAATAGTACTGTAGTTCTATCTGTGATTCATTTAGGGATAAACATTTTGCTGAAGAATAAGGATTAACTAAATTATTCCTAAAGAAAATCATTTTAATTAACACTGACACATGTCTTTCGAGGAAATGCAACAATTAACTCTCAGAAGAAAATTAGAAAAATGAAGTGATACTCAAATGTGCAAACATGTATGTTTGTCTGTGTAGAGACAATGTCATAAGGGACCATCTAGGTTTATTCCTCTAAACATGTAGACCAAAAATTCAAAGAGCAATCTGTTGCAAATTGCCATAATGGAAGACTAAATAATTAGAAAAATATTTTAAATATTCTGAAGGCTTTGTTTTCTGTTGTGCAGTACATTTTAAAATTTCAGGAAAATCACCAAATCAGGAATGTTTACCTGTTAGTCCAAACTATATATACAAAAATACATAGTAGTAGTCGAACCAAAGTCCAAAATTACATGTACAACTAAAGATATTAAAAGATTAATCTAGTCATACCGGATATTGATAAAAACCTTCGATGGATTAACTTTGCAAACAAAGTATACTTTATATATTCTCTCTATGAAATCCCTACGGGAGAAATGGATAAATTTTGAGAGAATCCATTCATAACCCCATGGAAGGATTAGGAGAAAGAATAGATGGAAAGACTTTGAAGGGGAACAAGAGTTGTTTTAAGGCCAAAATTTGGGTGAAAATTAGCCACTTTATGCCATCACTATATTATGCTAGACTCGACTAATCAATACTCTGCATCATTCATTACTTGTACGGTAGGCGCCCCACGAAGAAGGTCATAGAAACTAAGTTTTATAAAATTATGGTTTTCCCTACACGTATATCAATAACAACTACTGAATAGTATATCTAATAAACGTTTTTAAGGAAATTATTATTGGAACCCACAAAAGAGATTTCAAATGCCTCGTCGTAAAGAAATTCAAGGGTAGAAACTGCTGAAATTTACTGATCCATAGTTATGGCAGATACTCCTGATAATTCAAATCTCATCAATCTGTTCACCAAGCATTGTCGCTACAAAAAATTCACTTTCAGACATTAACAAAATTATCACTTAGTATATTTTCGTTGTAAATTCAACAAATAGTAGCCCAGGCAGGTTGAACAATAAGGTAAACAGACACACATTATGATACAACAGGTACATCCAATTGGGATAAAAATCATAACCTTAAAATATAAAAAATTACATTTGATATTCTCAGGTAGAGAATATAAAAAATTACACGATATTATTAGGTAGAAAACTTCCCCTTTCTACATCAATTTTGAATCTATATAGTTATTGGTGTCGCTAGAGCCTATATTTTTAAGATAGTAAAGTAAAAATAATAGATACTTTAACAAACTGAGAATACTACTCAGATTTCAGTTGTGCTGACCAATTAACTTCCGTTTGTTCTCTTTTAAGGATAAATTCAAGAAGCACCACGACAAAACTAAGATTTTTAACAAACTGAGAATACTACTCAGATTTCAGTTGTTCTGACCAATTAACTTCCGTTTTTTCTCTTTTAAGGATAAATTCAAGAAGCAGCACGACAAAACTAAGATTTTCATGTAACTAAACCATTTAGTCAAACATTACTGGAAATAATTCATACACAAAATAGCTATCTATAAGGAATAGCAATTTTTACCTCTTTGTTTTGTTCCAAGTACTACTTCTCGTCTTTATCTCTCGGTATACATGAAGTTTATAATCTAACTCTGAAGGACAAAGATGGATTAACAAGCATATGCAAATTTGAAATACCACAAACATTGCAACAAAAATTGCAGACCGAAATTGGAATAGAGAAATTTTAAGGGCTTGGATTATACAAATTGCATAAACAAATCGAGTGTAAACTGCTAAGTTGAATTAATTTAGGCAGATCCTCGAGAAAACAATCCAAACCCAACAACAGTTGAAGGAAAAGAAACGGAAGAGTAAAACTAACCTTCTAACTTTGTGATTATCTTGATGGAGCAAATATTGAATTGCAAAAACTCAGCAAAAATCACAATCTCTTGTCAATATATAGCAGAAATTGATGCGTCAGTGGAGAAGCCAAGGGAATCTAAACAAAGCGAAAAGAGAGATGCGAAGGAAAATCTTGGTAAAGCAGAGATTTAGGCGGTGACAGTTAGAGTGGTTTGCGAAATTACCTATGTAGTCTTTCTCTAAACAACTCAAATATTTCTGCTTGACTGGTCACTTTTATCTTTTTACCTTTTTTCGAAATCAGTGTTTGACCATAATATTTTCAATTTTCATTTGAATATGAATTTCAGAAAAAAATTTAAAAACTCCAAAAAGTTATTTTCAAAAAATTTACTTCAAATCACTCACAAAAATCCAAAAACAACCCAAAATTGTATTCTTGTCCAAACACAACTCTAATTTTCAAATATCATTTTCACTTGAATTTTTTTCCTCACTTTTTTACGTGAATTTTACAATTCTTATGTCCAAACGCTCACTAATTCACGGACTTTTTCTGTATTGCTGAAAACATGCACGCAAACTAACATCGACTGTATCGACAACCGGCACTTCCCTAGGGTTAATCAGTGGTACACCGGCTCCTGGAGCAACTACATTATCGTTTTCCCCGTGAAATCCAAGACTATCATCGCCGTGTATGGGTGCGTATTGTGAGTTTGACATGTTTGAACCTGAGAAAGGGATCCCCTTTATACAGTAAGAAAATCCTAAATAAGGTATACTTCTAATTGTAGCAAGGAATCTTATTATACAACTGTCTAACCATCTAGTACAAATCCATTCTAGAATTTACGTCGTGATCTTAGGTCCACTGCGAGAATCTTGCTCTTTCTGTTATGAAATCATAACGGTATTATTTCGTGGTTGGTCACACTTGGCCTCGGTGTCCATCGAGCACTTCGATCTTCGAGTCTCGTACTCCACTATTTAGCTCGAGCCCGGTCTATTTTAAACATGTTCTCGAAGCAAACCCTTGAGCCTACGAAATCGGGCATACCTGATTTCGACCGTATATAGATAGTCCTTGCATTTCTTTGAATAAGATGATAAGAAACGATTTGATCCTTGATCCTTTGATGCCTCGATCATGATATCAATCCTGTAACGTCAGTGACAGAAGTGATTTAAAGGTCGCGTCTGCATAGTTCCCAAGGTCATTAATTGAAGGCGGCTGATGGTCGGCCATTGGCTTCCCCAAATCGTTGACGCGACCACTATAAATAGGTCAATTTCACAACCTTTGCAATCTTTACTTCTCAAATCTTTACTAGCTTCTTCATCTTCTTTGAGTCCATCCTTTTCTTCAATTTGTGCTTGTTACAATATCAACTTCTTCTCTTCTCTTGAGTTTCACAACAGTGATGGCTAAAACATCTAAAACTGTTCCTCAGAAAGAAAAAGCCTCATCATCATCGCGGCCGGCCGGTGGCACCTCGTATCGAGGAGTGCATTCCTGGGCCATGCAGCTATTTTCCGATTTCAAAATCGATGAGCCTGCATCAATTCTAGGCCGATGCGAGCCCATGTCCCAATACATCTGCTCGATAACTAAAGACGATATCGAGCAGGTGAAAAAGGATTGCAATTGGGAGGATAAGGAGGTGGCAATTCCTTCCCCTGAGGAGGACATCACCACCCACGTGGAATGATACTTAAGCGTGTATACTTATCCTTTCACACTGGTCCCGTAGACTCAGTTATTCTCGATTTCTGTCATCAATATTGGGTGACCCTTGGCCATATCTACCCTTCTTTCTGGCACATCGTCAATTTGCTCAGGTATTTTTTAAGCAAGGTCAAGGGGATGTCTTTTACCCTCGACCATCTGATCAGGCTATACAGCCCTCGCCTCTATCGAGGTGGGTTGATAAAGCTCCAGCGTCGATCCTCGAAGGCGTTGTTCTTTAGCATCGATGAAGACAAGGATCGAGGATGGATGGTCCGGTTTATCCGAATCAATACCTCCAACCTACTTCATGCCGAAAGGATGACATTCCCCGAGGAATGGAACATGAAGCGTAAGTACAACCCCATCGATGATGCTTACTGCTATGCTTTCTCTATTCTTCTTTATTCTACTTTCTTTTTGATGGTGCAGCTTCCCCTTGGTTTCCTAGTGTGATTCTGGACCTCGCAGTTTGGGTAGACAATTGGCCTCCACTTCTTCACATGCTGAACATTGTTGGCGCGATTTGGCCAAGAGTCGGTGGGAAGCTAAAAACAATAGTGAATTTCTTTGTTCATATGTTGTCGTTTCTCTGTAAAATACTTACTTTCCCCTTACGCAGGCCTCAGGGACACTGTTGTTATGAGGCCGCCTTCGCCCAATGAATAGGAAATCCCGAAGCCAACCAAAGAGAAGAAACGGAAAAGGGCTTCTCCACCAAGTTCCCCGAAGCCCATAAAAAATAGAGCTCGAAAGCCTAGGGTCGATCCTGCAGCCCTATCATCTAACGTGGTCCAACAACTTCGGGATGACGAGGAAGAATGAGAGGATGATGACTGCTTGCTGGTATCTCGGAAGAGGGAAAACACTAAAGCTTCAAAGACTGCTGAATCGGCGGTGGCCGATGCGGTTCAATCTCGAACCGGAGAAATCTCGGAGGGGAGCTCGAGTAGAGTCCCCGATCTATCGGGTGATAAAAGCGCACCTCATCATCTGGCAGGTGAGCCCGAAGGGCATAATTTTGAGGCCCTTCAAAGAGAAGAGAATGTCCCAAGTGAATCACTTGGGATAATTAACATAGATGAATCGCCGCCCGACACTGTGTTTTCTGAAGGGAAGTTCCGAGATGCCCGGGCCATAAAGACTCCCAATGTGGGGACGACCCATGAAGGGAATGATATTTTTCGAGAATGCTTTGCGGGAGTCGAAGATGGTCTCGACCCGGATGCTTCGTTTATTTTTGACGAGGCTCAGCGACTTCTCAAACAAGTAAGTTTCTGCCTCCATAATTATGTTCGTGTTTTATTCTCGTTTTTCTAAGTCTGACTCCTTTTCTTTGTGTGAAGGTCGTGACGCTCCATCAACAAACGTTTTCCAATTCTCAACCCGAGCTTGCCCGATGCGAGGCTGAAATCAAGAAGCTTGTGGAAGAGAGGGTTGGCCTCAAACTCCTCTACGTTAAAAAAGAGGAGGAGATCAGGGACCTCGAGCCGACTTGGCGAAAGCTCATCGAGAACAGCCTGAGCTCATTGAGCAGGTAATATAACTTTTTGGGAGTTTGCTACATGTTCATTTGACTCAGCGATTAACATTTTGACTTTGCAGGCCCAGTAGAATGACGAGCTAGTGGAGCAGCTTCGAGAGGAGGTCAAGGCGAGAGAGGCCGAGACCTTGGGGTGGAAGCAACATATGGATCGTCTTGCCTCGGAGAAGGACATGCTTCAGGCCCAGCTGACTTTGGTCTAATTCTAGCTTCAAAATGTAAAGGGGGAAATCTTGGCTCGGAGCCGAAAGATTGAAGAGCTCGAAGCTAAATCAGTCACCGAACTTGCAGAGGCTAAATCTGAGGCGGAGGCGTTTATGGCCTCTTATCGAGCTGACGTTGAGGTTGCCAAAATTCGGGCACAGGAGATCACTATCGCTGCTAAAGTCAAATTTTTGTGTGTTGTCGATCACGCCAGGCAAAAATCCTGGAGAGAGACTCTCAAGGAAGTGCACGCTCGTGGCTTTAACCTCTCAACTGATATCAAAAAGGCAAAAACTTTGGAGGATGAGGCTGCCGCTTTACTCTCCGATGATGAAGACTTTGCTAGTAGTTCTGAGAGCGAAGGAGATGAGGATAAAGTCCCCGAGGAGGAGGTTCTCGAAGATGTGGCTCCCAAAGATGCGGCTCCCAAAGTAGACTAGGCCCTTAGGATTTTGTTTTTTGTTTTTTTGTGTAAGGCCCCTTGTGGGCATTGTAAATACCTTTTGTGTATATAAGGAATTCCTTTTCTTTCCGATCCATCTCCGATTTGTTATAAAGTCTGCTTCATTTTAGTTTTGTGAAATTTTTTGATGTTATAACTTCAATAATCGAGTTAGCACTAGCCCAGATTCAGAGTAAAACAAATCTTAAGTTTTTTTAGAAATCGATGGGAAATCTTATAATAGAATACCTCTTAAGGTTTTTTGATGAATCCTCGAGCTATGCTTAAGTTAATATTATGCGAACTCAGGATGGTGGAACCCTTAGGTCCGAGTTGAGTGAGAATAAGGTCTCGAACTCTAAATGTTTTGGCAAACTTAGGTTCTTTTAGGTTGGGCCGATACGACCGTTAAGAAATGGCTATTATTTTCCCTTTTCGGCATAAAGGCATAGTACAAATTTCTTTATGCCTTAGCATGCATGTTTTACCCATTGGGTTTTTTGAATGTTTAGTGTCGATCGAAACTCTTTTATTTTTTGTGCCTTAGCACAAGTTTGTATTTGAATAATTTGATACCTCTTAAAGTTTTTTGAGGGCTGATTTTATCGAAGCCTTTAATTATTTTGCCGAGCGTAGCCTTTATTAGTTGGTTTTCAGAGAATTCGAAGGTTTGTTTTTATTGCGGGATTCAGACATCTCCGAGCCGCGTTATTTTAGCCGTAGCCTTTATTATGGACGTAGACTTCGGGTATACCTCTTGGACTTGTTTCCCGATAACATTTCGAACTTGTTCGAAATGTCAGTCCCGAGTATGATGGCCTTGGCCTTTACGTCGAGGGGTGCCTGTTTGAGGTCTTATGAATCTGAGTTTAGATAACTCGAATGTGTTGACTGTCGACAACAGTCCCCGAGTATTCGAGGTGTATTTGCATTTTGGCCCTTGAGCCGTTTCATACAGAATCACAAGTATGAAGCTCGTATAATTGCAAATTTCTTTGATACACGAAGTGTTTGATATAGAAAGAATGCTTCTTTGAATAATTCATACATGCGTACATATTTTTCCATCAGGACTCGACTATTCTATATGGACACGGTTCATCTGACCGTTTGGCCCATTACAAAGTTTTCCTATCAAGGCCTTCTTTGGCGTGAAGTATTTTTCTCAAAAATATACCCTCCGAAGGTGATGCCCCCCCCAGTATTCAAGGTTGATTGAAAAGAAGCCTTGGATACTGTTGAATTCTCCTTAGGTAGCACATAGTTTTTGCCTCGTTAAAAACCTCGCCAGAAAAACCCATTTAGGATA